AAAAAGCTCTCACAAGCCCAAAAGAATAGTGTTTCACGTGAATTCCATGCCTCATATGTTCAGAATATGCTAGAGTGAGCGCGTGCTAACAGTCTTGATGTATCACAATGGCAGTGTTCAAAACTCCTTTGAATGAATTCACAATAACCATGAAATATTGCTTTAGTCCAGTCATACAATGACTTTGTAATTCTAATAAATAATTTTTAAAAAAAATTCCCCTCAAATTTAATCTAAATGCAACATTAGGTACAGCTGCAGGCTGATAATAAAACAAGGACATCTAGGAATCAATTGTTCAACTTTGCCATTGTATACATCTCATGAATGTATTATGACTCAGTCACAATACTGACTACATGACTTATGTTGTAACACAATGAACATGGGAAATAACCCCAAACTTGTCAATGGGTTCAATATTGAATCTGAATTTAAAACTTGTAAACACCTATTTATAGCTTATTGCAATCTATACAAAACACTGCATTGTCTTCAGAGTGAAAATGTTGTACAAGAATTGTTCATTTTAGTCCTTTGTATTATATTAGGTTGGTCTGGTACTTGAAAATTTTTTGACTTTTTTTCTTTTTGCTAACAAACACCACAACACAACTCCGGTGGTCTAGTGGTTAGAGCGTCTGCCTTGGATGCGGGAGGTCTCTGGTTTTGAACCCCTGCTGACTCATACCAAAGACTTAAAAATTGGTACTAACAGCTACCTTGCTGGGTGTTAAACATTAGGAGAATAATGTTAGGACTGGTCAGCCTCATGTCATGATAATGTGACTGGGTGGAACAACATGCCACATATCTGCAGTATGATGCCCCAGTGCTAGACATCACTATAAACTGTCACAATTCAGACATCATAGCAAAATGACTGAAAAATTGTTAAAGTTGCATTAAATATTTAAATCACACACACTCTTTGCTACAGAGGTTAGAAAAGATATAGTTATCAAGTTTCATTGTTATCATTATAATAGAAATAATGACTTTATTTGAAGTCATCTGGTCCATCTTCCATGAGGCCTTCTACACACACACACACACACACACACACACACACACACACACACACACACACATTTATATTTATTATGTTTCAATTAGCTTTAGTTGAAACAGGAAGTTTAATTCCTGTAGAAACAGCCATGTAAAGAAAGTTTTGCAAATAACTGTTTTGCTGTTTTATTTGTTTGTCTTGTCTGTTTTGAATTTGCCTTTGAAAAAGACTTTTAGATTATGAAGCACTCAGGCTGGTTAGATGCTAGTTTTACACTGTTGTCAGTTTATTGCATTTATCTCAATCAATCTGTGACACACATGATCCCTTGCTGGATCCAATGCACTTGAAAAGGACTGTTACTCACCATATATATATATATATATATATATATATATATATATATATATATATATATATATATATATATATATATATATATATATATATAGAGAGAGAGAGAGAGAGAGAGAGAGAGAGAGAGAGAGAGAGAGAGAGAGAGAGAGAGAGTTGTTACCAGATGAGGTGTTTTTTGACAACAAATGCTGTTGAAAACTAGAGTATTGAATTCTACTACAATAAAATATGTACAAGGCTTCATGGTTGAATACATGCAGGCAGTAACATGATGCTTGGGGGACAGGAGAATAAAATTGCCATTTAAGTAGGAATGTGTTAACAGATTTTTGTAAAAAAAACTTCACCAAAGAAAATGTGCATTAAAATTTCAGTGTTATCAGTTTTAACTAACGTCTTGATCATATATCATTTGCTTTGTTCTCTGGGTTTCATCAGACATCAAATATAGTTTTGAATTGTATACATGCCAATATGGTGAAAACAGTGCATGGTGAAGTTAAGGCAACATTAAACGCAGTACTGGGATTGAAAATCTGCTAGGGATACGAATAATCAGCTTTTAAGAGAGCATGTATTTAGGATGTTTAATAAAAAAAATGTGAGCCTTGCTGCCATCATGTAAGTGGAATCCTGTTACAATCCATTATAACAGATTTTGCCTGTACAGAAGTCATACAAATCATAGTACAGTACTGAACATGGAATTGTCTGCCTTTTCATGGGCATAACATTTCTAGCAGTGTTGTCTTTGGAAATGTGTGCTTGTAATGGGCATAACATTTCTAGCAGTGTTGTCTTTGGAAATGTGTGCTTGTAATGGGCATAACATTTTGGTAGCGTTGTCTTTGGAAATGTGTGCTTGTAATGGGCATAACATTTCTAGCAGTGTTGTCTTTGGAAATTTGTGCTTGTAATGGGCATAACATTTCTAGCAGTCTTGACTTTGGAAATGTGTGCTTGTAATGGGCATAACATTTTGGTAGTATTGTCTTTAGAAATGTGTGCTTGTAATGGGCATAACATTTCTAGCAGTGTTGTCTTTGGAAATGTGTGCTTGTAATGGGCATAACATTTCTAGCAGTGTTGTCTTTGGAAATGTGTGCTTGTAATGGGCATAACATTTCTAGCAGTGTTGTCTTTGGAAATGTGTGCTTGTAATGGGCATAACATTTTGGTAGCATTGTCTTTGGAAATGTGTGCTTGTAATGGGCATAACATTTCTAGCAGTGTTGTCTTTGGAAATGTGTGCTTGTAATGGGCATAACATTTCTAGAAGTGTTGTCTTTGGAAATGTGTGCTTGTAATGGGCATAACATTTTGGTAGCATTGTCTTTGGAAATTTATGCTTGTAATGGGCATAACATTTCTAGCAGTGTTGTCTTTGGAAATGTGTGCTTGTAATGGGCATAACATTTTGGTAGCATTGTCATTGGAATTGTCTGTCTTGTCATGTTCATCAGTTCCATTTCTCTGACTATTGCATTTTCAGTGAGCTTTCTAGTTTTGTGCAGACAGATGCAGCCATCTTTAAACTGAGTAGGTTTATCTTGAGGATTACTGTTTGTAAAAGTAGGTTGCAATTATTTACTTTTCACATTGCATATATTTTGCAGTCTTTAAACTTTATGAAGGCGTTGAAAAAAAGGTCATTGTTGCGAAGCTTCCTGGATTTAATGCCTATATTATGTGTTTGTATTATAATCCAATCATTAGTGGAGAAACACTATGCCACAAACTTCTTGATAGTTGTGTTTACCTTTAGAACACTGACATCAGTATAGAACCTTACTATGTAATTGTTTATTGAAGGGCAGCACTGGAAGGTGCAAGTAAACATCATGAGGAAGTATTCAGATGAAAAATATAAATTTTGTCTATGGAAACAGCTACAGACAGTAATGTTTGTCCTCCATTCTCTTCGCAAGCCATGTAACCAACAATGCAACAAGAAAAACATGGACAATTTTGTGAACAGTTGAGGACTCCCAAGACAGTTAACATTTCTGTTTTGAGCCATTCAACTTATAAAGGTATTACCTGTCATTCCTACTTGAATGTGCATTATTCCTTCCTTAGAATGCACTTTTTTAAAATATGAGGTCACCTTATAATATTGGTGAAATGGTATATCTCTGTTGCACATTAATATGATTTGTAATCCACATCATATGTAATGCAGTATATTATTGCAGATGCAGATTATGTTAACCTGATGGTCTTTCTGTCTCTAGATGGTCTGTCAATGGTAGAGTGGTGATGTATATCTGTTGACATTAACAGTACACTGATTACATTTACAGAAAGACTTTAGTACATATGCCATTCTCATCCTTGACAAAAAATTACATTGGACAGAATGCCACTTGTCATTGATCTTAGTTCATCCTTTTTGGACATTTCAGGTGCAAGAATGAGCTTAAACACCACAAAGCTTTGTTTTAAACTGCTTGAATGCTTTAAATACATCTTATTATCAATGTCATGTCTTAACTTTAGTTTTGTAAGGCATTACAGTGTTAACTGCATAACAGAAACAAAAGGATAGTTTTATCTAGAACAACTCCAGTTGTGAGAGCATAGATGACAATTCGTACCTTCATGTTGCCCTTTATGAATGTATAAATAACTGCCACAAACACTAGTTTTTGTAAGTGATAAAGGAAATTTTTGACAACACTCACTCTTCACCAAATTAACAGGGTGACTATAATTTGTGCAGCTTGGAATCTGTCTTCTTAATGATTCTGTGCTAATTTTATTTTATCCTCTCAGCATGCTCATTTGCTGATTAGATATTTCATTGTGAACAGATACATTCTGCACATTCCAACTTTGTTCCCCATGTATGATTAAAAATCTTTGAAAATCACCGAATAGCCATTTTTTCCATGATTTTTTTGCTATTGATTTTTATCTGTTTGGAATTTGGATGTCAGTACTTCTAGTGTGTCATGCAGTGATTATACTACAGTTAGTTCTAATTGATGGTTTTACCCAGGATTTAAGCAAAAATGAAGAGCAACAAACTTGAATGTAACATTTTTCACTGCACGACACTGGATGTGTATCCTTCAAATTCGTTTCAAGTAGACAAGATCCAAAGAACAGAGGTTGTGCTACACTGTTATACGCTGGATTTTACTGATAAAATTTGCCTCTGTACTGAAAAAAATGAGGCTTCAGTATTCATGTACAAATGGTAAAACTTGTTTTAAGTCTTGAAAGTTAACTGTTTCAATATCAGTGTATTCTGTAAGATGCTGACTTATTCTTTTCAGACACTTGTAGTCCCATAAACCTGACATCTGATCAGTGATTGTCGACAACAACACAGTACCAGAAGGAGAGTCAACTTATTGCTTTGATGGGTTGCAAGAGTTTGATATTTGATTCAAGTTGTAACAATGCAAATTAAAACACCCCTCTTTCTGTTTCATAGACATAAATCCAAGCAGCCACTTTCTGCTTCTTTCCATTGGCATTGAAGACTCATGAATATTGTGATGTTTCTTTGTTATAGAGTCTATTTTTGTTTTGTATACCATTGTTGCTTTTGTTTACTCATGTTCAAAACAAGTTAATAGCCACATACTTGTTTGTTGACCTGATAATTTACCAAGTTACATATACTGATCCGGTGGCTTAGTGGTTAGAGCATCTGCCTCAGATATAAAGGTCATTGGTTCAATCCCCGTTTGAGTCATACGCAAGACTAAAAAAAAACAATGCTAACAGATGCCTCACTTAATGCTCAGCATTAAGAGGTTAGTGTTAGGACTGGTCGGCCTGGTGTCAGGATAATGTGACTGGGTGGGACATAATGCCATATGTCTGCGGCATGATGCCTAATTGCTAGACATGACTATAAATTGTAATACTGCAGACAATTTAGCACTGTGACTGAAAAATTGTTAAAGCTATGTTAAAAATCTAAATCACACACACACACACACACAGACATCATAGCAAGATGACAGAAAAATTGTTAAAAGTTACATCAAAAATCCAAATCACACACACACACACACACACACACACACACAGGATAAAATTGCGATAGTGTGTGCAGCCTGCGTGTAATCTCTAGGAAAATTAATAAATGTAACAGTGGTGCATTGTAAATGGGCAGAGAATGCCTGGTGGATGCAATTGACTTTTAAAAGGATACTTTGTAAATTTAACATTAAAAATCTGATAGTTAAGGAGAAAGAAGCTATTACTGGTTCCTCTTAGAGGAATGGTGTATTTTTGCAGACAAGGACTGATGTCTGTGAGAATGCCAGCATGGTTATTATGGTTATGGAGGGACAGAGGATTAAAAGCCAGAAGGGACTCACTGACAATAATCTTGAGATATATGACTTTCTTTTTAGCAGTCCAGAAATTCATGGTTGAAATCTGTCAAGACATTCTTAAGTCAAAATTTTCTGGTTGAATGCTTTAGGCAATATAATTGACAAGACCCATACAATGATTCATCTAACTGTGAATGTTTAGTCTGACTGAAGTGACTGTGAATGTTTAATCTGACTGAAGTGACTGTGAATGTTTAATCTGACTGAAGTGACTGTGACTGTTTAATCTGACTGAAGTGACTGTGAATGTTTAATCTGACTGAAGTGACTGTGAATGTTTAATCTGACTGAAGTGACTGTGAATGTTTAATCTGAATGAAGTGACTGTGAATCTTTAATCTGACTGAAGTGACTGTGAATGTTTAATCTGAATGAAGTGACTGTGACTGTTTAATCTGACTGAAGTGACTGTGAATGTTTAATCTGACTGAAGAGACTGTGAATGTTTAATCTGACTGAAGTGACTGTGAATGTTTAATCTGACTGAAGAGACTGTGAATGTTTAATCTGACTGAAGTGACTGTGAATGTTTAATCTGACTGAAGTGACTGTGAATGTTTAATCTGACTGAAGTGACTGTGAATGTTTAATCTGACTGAAAAGACTGTAAATGTTTAATCTGACTGAAGTGACTGAATGTTTAATCTGACTGAAGAGACTGTGACTATTTAATCTGACTGAAGAGACTGTGACTATTTATTCTGACTGAAGAGACTGTGACTATTTAATCTGACTGAAGAGACTGTGACTATTTAATCTGACTGAAGAGACTGTGACTATTTATTCTGACTGAAGAGACTGTGACTATTTAATCTGACTGAAGAGACTGTGACTATTTATTCTGACTGAAGAGACTGTGACTATTTAATCTGAATGAAGAGACTGTGAATATTTAATCTGACTGAAGTGACTGTGAAAGTTTAATCTGACTGAAAAGACTGTGAATGTTTAATCTGACTGAAGTGACTGTGAATGTTTAATCTGAGTGAAGTGACTGTGATTGTTTAATCTGACTGAAAAGACTGTAAATGTTTAATCTGACTGAAGTGACTGAATGTTTAATCTGACTGAAGAGACTGTGACTATTTAATCTGACTGAAGTGACTGTGAATGTTTAATCTGACTGAAAAGACTGTGACTGTTTAATCTGACTGAAGTGACTGTGAATGTTTAATCTGACTGAAGTGACTGAATGTTTAATCTGACTGAAGAGACTGTGAATGTTTAATCAGACTGAAGAGACTGTGACTATTTAATCTGACTGAAGAGACTGTGACTATTTAATCTGACTGAAGAGACTGACTATTTAATCTGACTGAAGTGACTGTGAAAGTTTAATCTGACTGAAGTGACTGTGAATGTTTAATCTGAATGAAGTGACTGAATGTTTAGTCTGACTGAAGTGACTGTGAATGTTTAATCTGACAAAAGAGACTGTGACTATTTAATCTGACTGAAGTGACTGTGAATGTTTAATCTGTCTGAAGAGACTGTGAATGTTTAATCTGACTGAAGAGACTGTGAATGTTTAATCTGACTGAAGTGACTGTGAATGTTTAATCTGAATGAAGTGACTATGAATGTTTAATCTGACTGAAGAGACTGTGACTGTTTAATCTGACTGAAGTGTCTGTGAATATTTAATCTGACTGAAGAGACTGTGAATGTTTAATCTGACTGAAGAGACTGTGAATGTTTAATCAGACTGAAGAGACTGTGACTATTTAATCTGACTGAAGAGACTGTGACTATTTAATCTGACTGAAGAGACTGACTATTTAATCTGACTGAAGTGACTGTGAATGTTTAATCTGAATGAAGTGACTGAATGTTTAGTCTGACTGAAGTGACTGTGAATGTTTAATCTGACAAAAGAGACTGTGACTATTTAATCTGACTGAAGTGACTGTGAATGTTTAATCTGACTGAAGAGACTGTGAATGTTTAATCTGACTGAAGTGACTGTGAATGTTTAATCTGAATGAAGTGACTATGAATGTTTAATCTGACTGAAGAGACTGTGAAAGTTTAATCTGACTGAGGAGACTGTGAATGTTTAATCTGACGGAAGTGACTGTGAATGTTTAATCTGACTGAAGTGACTGTGAATGTTTAATCTGAATGAAGTGACTATGAATGTTTAATCTGAATGAATAGACTGTGAATGTTTAATCTGACTGAAGTGACTGTGAATGTTTAATCTGACTGAAGAGACTGTGACTGTTTAATCTGAATGAAGAGACTGTGATTGTTTAATCTGAATGAAGTGACTGTGAAAGTTTAATCTGAATGAAGAGACTGTGAAAGTTTAATCTGACTGAAGAGACTGTGAAAGTTTAATCTGACTGAAGTGACTGTGAATGTTTAATCTGACTGAAGTGACTATGAATGTTTAATCTGACTGAAGTGACTGTGACTGTTTAATCTGAATGAAGAGACTGTGAATGTTTAATCTGACTGAAGTGACTGTGAATGTTTAATCTGACTGAAGAGACTGTGAATGTTTAATCTGACTGAAGTGACTGTGAATGTTTAATCTGACTGAAAAGACTGTAAATGTTTAATCTGACTGAAGTGACTGAATGTTTAATCTGACTGAAGAGACTGTGACTATTTAATCTGACTGAAGAGACTGTGACTATTTATTCTGACTGAAGAGACTGTGACTATTTAATCTGACTGAAGAGACTGTGACTATTTAATCTGACTGAAGAGACTGTGACTATTTATTCTGACTGAAGAGACTGTGACTATTTATTCTGACTGAAGAGACTGTGACTATTTAATCTGAATGAAGAGACTGTAACTATTTAATCTGACTGAAGTGACTGTGAAAGATTAATCTGACTGAAAAGACTGAATGTTTAATCTGACTGAAGTGACTGTGAATGTTTGATCTGACTGAAGTGACTGTGATTGTTTAATCTGACTGAAAAGACTGTAAATGTTTAATCTGACTGAAGTGACTGAATGTTTAATCTGACTGAAGAGACTGTGACTATTTAATCTGACTGAAGTGACTGTGAATGTTTAATCTGACTGAAAAGACTGTGACTGTTTAATCTGACTGAAGTGACTGTGAATGTTTAATCTGACTGAAGTGACTGTGAATGTTTAATCTGACTGAAGAGACTGTGAATGTTTAATCAGACTGAAGAGACTGTGACTATTTAATCTGACTGAAGAGACTGTGACTATTTAATCTGACTGAAGAGACTGTGACTATTTAATCTGACTGAAGTGACTGTGAAAGTTTAATCTGACTGAAGTGACTGTGAATGTTTAATCTGAATGAAGTGACTGAATGTTTAGTCTGACTGATGTGACTGTGAATGTTTAATCTGACAAAAGAGACTGTGACTGTTTAATCTGACTGAAGTGACTGTGAATGTTTAATCTGTCTGAAGAGACTGTGAATGTTTAATCTGACTGAAGAGACTGTGAATGTTTAATCTGACTGAAGTGACTGTGAATGTTTAATCTGAATGAAGTGACTATGAATGTTTAATCTGACTGAAGAGACTGTGAAAGTTTAATCTGACTGAGGAGACTGTGAATGTTTAATCTGACTGAAGAGACTGTGAATGTTTAATCAGACTAAAGAGACTGTGACTATTTAATCTGACTGAAGAGACTGTGACTATTTAATCTGACTGAAGAGATTGTGACTATTTAATCTGACTGAAGTGACTGTGAAAGTTTAATCTGACTGTAGTGACTGTGAATGTTTAATCTGAATGAAGTGACTGAATGTTTAGTCTGACTGAAGTGACTGTGAATGTTTAATCTGACAAAAGAGACTGTGACTATTTAATCTGACTGAAGTGACTGTGAATGTTTAATCTGTCTGAAGAGACTGTGAATGTTTAATCTGACTGAAGAGACTGTGAATGTTTAATCTGAATGAAGAGACTGTGAATGTTTAATCTGACTGAAGTGACTGTGAATGTTTAATCTGACTGAAGAGACTGTGACTGTTAAATCTGAATGAAGAGACTGTGATTGTTTAATCTGAATGATGTGACTGTGAAAGTTTAATCTGTCTGAAGAGACTGTGAATGTTTAATCTGAATGAAGAGACTGAAAGTTTAATCTGACTGAAGAGTCTGTGAATGTTTAATCTGTCTGAAGTGACTATGAATGTTTAATCTGACTGAAGTGACTGTGACTGTTTAATCTGAATGAAGAGACTGTGAATGTTTAATCTGACTGAAGTGACTGAAAGTTTAATCTGACTGTAGAGACTGTGAATGTTTAATCTGACTGAAGAGACTGTGACTGTTTAATCTGAATGAAGTGACTGTATATGTTTAATCTGACTGAAGAGACTGTGAAAGTTTAATCTGAC